CTATGTTTTGAATTGAAGCAATATCTTGACTTTGTCATGCCTTGAGAATAGTGAGTGCTTTGGTTGTAACGCTTAGGCTCAGTTTTTGACTCTTGTATAAGTACCTTAAATTGTATGATCTTAACTTTGCTTAACTTCTTTGACTAGAGTGTCTTGATGAGTCCAATCCTGAGTGAGTTATGTGCCATGTGTGTGTAAGGTTTTGGGTTATTCTGTGCATTGCATTTGATGTCTAGAACTTGCCCCGTGTGTTTGCAAAGCGAAATAGTAGTTTTGTTCAGTCTTGGAAGTGATATAGGCATTTTTTTGTTGAGCCATATAAACATTTTAACCGCCTAATTGTTATGTATCATAGTTAACCTCTTTGAGCCTGTAATCCTGTTTCTTTGGCAACCACATTACAAGCCTTACTCATTTGTTTGAATTAACCATTTATTTGAACCTTTTCACCTATCATGAGCACTTGATCGTTATGAACTTTGTAAAAGTTAAAGTGTGGGGTGGTTGGTTTGGCTTTTGAGTGGAACTAATGAAATAAGGAGAAAGGTGCAGTGTTTTGAAAAAAAGTAAGAGCCACTTGAATTGAACAAGAAAAAAAAAATAGTTGTATTGCTGTGAAAAATAATCTGTGATAGTGGTGACGCTTGATATAATTGTGCTTAAAGAAGTGGGGAATCAATATATATTGATGTGAAGGTGAGTTATGGTTTGGCATAAGTATGGAGTTTTGAATGTTAAAGTATATGTATTAAAGTGCTTAGGGAGGTGTAGTCACTCTTATATCTAAATGTATCCTAACCGTCCCTCAGCCTACATTACAACCAAATAAAGTCCTACTTGATCCTAGACTGAATGAGCTCGATTAGTAGAGTAGTACACTACGGGCAAGCCTATGGTGCATCTTTTGTGGCATATGAATGTTATTTCTGAGAGTGAGTGAATTCTTTCTGTCTTGAGTTCCTAAGTGTTCTTAAATTTTATTGTGTGGGACTACTCTCGTTGGTTGTGTGAGGGCACTTGATTCATGAAGGAAAGGTAATATCATTGACCTCTATGTTAGAGTAAGTGGGTGAGTTGCGAATAATGTGTGGTACTTGTGAGTCAAATCTTGAGGTGAAAATGTTACACTCTTGTGCTTAGTCTATTTTAAATATTCTTGGTGTGATAAGTTAGGAGAATTGTTTAAAAAGGTCGTGTCTTTATAAAGTGTAGTTTGATTGCTCGAGGACGAGCAATGGTTTAAGTGTGGGGTGTTGATGATAGGTTATAATTACGTATTTTAGTCGATTATTACACTCTAATTTACTGCACTTTAGTTGAGTTTGAGCTTTAATCGCTGGTATTTTGCACTAACGGTGTGTTTTATGCCTTGTAGGAGTGATTCCGAGCTATGTAGATGTTATGAAATGAATTCAAGTAATTTAGAGTTTTAAAGTTTGAGTAAAAGTTCAAGGAATTAAGCCGGGATCGTGTTCGGGAGTCAACGGATGATAGTTAGAGTGAACGAAGACTCCAGTAGGCATATCGCGCACTGTCTAGTAAAATAGATATAACGTTTTGCTCAGAACTCCATTTTGGCTCCACAATATATGGTTGGAAAGCTAACTCAAAGGGCTACAACTTTCATGTTTTATGTTTTTCAAAATTCCAAATGGAACAGGGTGACAAGTGCGGTCCAAGATGCGCGATCGCGCTAGTTTTAGCGCGCCCAGGACAGAAAGTTGTCCAACTAGCGCGCCCAGATGTGCGACCGCGCTAGTCAAACCCGGGAAAAATGTCATTTTTCACATTGAAGAAGGTATAATTGTTTGGGCCCAACCCTACTTGGTATATATACATGGAAAAACGGTATTTTGAAGAGGAGGACGCCACTTTAGAGAGATCTAACATATTTTGGAGGAGAATTCACGTGGAGGAACACACACCACGCTTGGAGGAGGCTTCTAACTAGTTTTTCTTCTCTTCTCTTCCTTTAGTTTAATAGTTTATTTGTTCTAGAGTTGTTGGGTGCTACATGAACGTTGTAGTTGAAGCTTGAATTGTTCTTATTATTTTATCATATTGGTTTATTTATTCAATCTTGCGCTTAATTATTTGATTGCTTGATCACCAATTGAATATTATCTACGAATCTAGGATTGAGCTCGGGAGAGGGAATTCTAAATTGCATATAAGATTGAGTAGAGCAAGATCTTAACTCTTAGGGGGAGCAGATTTGCGGTTAGGATAGGAATATACCTAATCGCCTTGCTTGGTTATTATACGGGAATTATAAATGCGTTCTTGTTAATCCTAATTCCATAGGAATATAGGCGTTAGGTTAGCTTGAATAGGCGAGTTGTACTTCGGGAGAAGGCTACGAGCAATATTAACCTTGTCAACCAATAAATCAGATAACTTAATTAGACGATTTAGGTGAAAAACTCAACGGGATTGTTAGCTAACCCATAGCTCTAGAATATTCACTCACATTGAATTCGTCTCTATAATTCGCCAACTTGTTTTCTTTAATCTCTTAGTTTGTTACTCTAGATTTATTTTAGTTAAATATTCATACGTTAGGATTCGCTTGAATAGATTAATTGTTTGGTTTAGTTTAGTTGATAGTTAATCACAAGTCCCTGTGGGTACGATATCTAGACTTACAATTCTATATTACTTGTCGACCACGTATACTTGTGTGTGCGTTTGGAAGCAACACTCCTCTTAGGGAATACATGAAAAAAAACATATCATCTGAAACTAGCTATCCAATATCTTGTGTAAATTAGTTAAACTTCCATTGTGCAAGCTAAAAAATTGAAGTAAATGAATGTAATAATAACTACTTTTCTCAAGAGACCTTGTCCCGTTAACCAACGAACCATATCATTTCCTTGAATAGAGAGGGACAAAATAGTATATTACAAGATTATATTAGTTGGACAAAACCCTAACTAGAATCAAAGTTTTAATAATTCTTATTGACAAAACTTTCCCCAACTGATTGCTTCACTCTACCAAAGAGCCGAAATCCAATAGATATTTTTGCTGGAACCTTCGGGTAGACTCCGCGGGATCAACAATCATAGCTGCGCCGAGTATGGTAGAATTCCTCAGTTCATCTCTCTCGATCAGTTCAGGTTCAAGGGAGGGTGTTGCGATCAAATGCAAACGCAAGTATACGCGGTCGTCAAGTAATAAAGTGACTAAAAATCGGATGTCGAATACACGAGGATTTGTTATCAGCTATTAACTAAATTAGACTATCCTAATTATCTAAACAAGAATTAGTTCTAAAAGTATTTGACTCTAAGCTAATTAAAATAAAAAGAAAACAAATAACGAGTTCTAAATAAAGGAGAATAAATTTTTATGTTATCAATGGGATGAAAACGATTTAGGGTTATGGGCTATCTAACAATCCTATTATACTCTTCACTTGAATTGACTAATTAATTATCTGATTTACTAGTTGACAGGGTTAATATTACTCATAAAAATCTATCGAGCTCTTACTCGCCTATTCGAGCTAACCTAACGCCTATATATGATCTATAGATATTATTTAATTGGTAATCAACCAATCAAATAATTAAGCGCAAGATTGAATAAAGAAACTAACACAATAAATCAAGAAATCAAAATTAATATCCAAATAACAATATTCATGAAAGAACCACAACCCTAGAACGTGAAGTTTAGCTCCAGATGTACATGGTAGCAAAACAACAAATCATCCAAAGAAACATCAAAATTACTAAGTTTGGCGAAAGAAAGATGGAATCTGATAAATTCTGGCCTCCACAGTGGCTCGTGCTCTCCCTTGGTCGAATTTCCCTCTAAATAACGTCCAATCTCCTTCTTAGACATGTTTAGGGTGTGCTAGGGTCGAAGTCTCCAAGTCCAAAACTTAGTAGGAAACAAATTATTCGCGGATTGGGGACCAGGCCTTTAACTTGCAAGGCCTAGTTTGGAGCGTGCCATAAGCCAGGCGAGGCCTGCGGCGAGGTAACCTCTCACCATAAGCCAGCTAAGGCGAGGCTTGGGGCGAGATGGAACCTCGCCCTGGACCTGGCAAGGCCTAGTCTGGGGCCAGGTCTCTTCCCTGCCTTGCGCTGATCTTCCTTTCATGTTCTATTCTTGTATTTTCAACATTATTTTATGCAACTATTATTCCTTTATGTATTCCAATGATCCTATATATAAAAACAACTCAATTAAGATCAAACATAGCACAATTAATCAATAAAATACCAAAATATAATGCGAGTAATGTACTAAAAATATAGAATTATAGCCAAACATCAGAGGGACATCAAGGGGACCCAGACTTTCAATCTCTTCTCTATGGCGCGACTCGGGAGGTTGCTTTCATATCAAGAGTGTATTGGGTAGGCTAGGGAAGATGGATTGGATCAAGAGACGATGCTTATGCCTCTTCTTTATCGATAGGATTCCCATTCCTTTTCCGAATGAAAGGCGATAGGTGGCGTACCCTAATAAGGAAGCAAGAAAAGCATTTTTATGTTGATGCCTAACAGTTCAAACTTCCAAACTTTAGAACCAGTAAGTATCACGCTCTCTCAGCAAGTACTCAGTATACCTTTTTTGGCAACTTTCTTTGTGTTAAAGTTAGATGTTCGTGCACAAGCAGAAATTAATTAATCTTATCAAACAAGAAAATGGACAGATAAAAGAAGTTAGGTTTAAGGAAAGAAATTATTTAGTCATTCGATCAAGCAGAAATTAATTAAGTTGCTTACTGTGCAAAGATAGATGTTATAACAGAAAAAGCAGTTTCATTAAGAGTGATTAGAAAAGAGGTGACTGAGCTGAAAAACATAAAAATCCTTTACATGCAATAAAAGAACATGCAAATTAAACACACACAAACTGCACTCCCACAAATAGCTGAGATAATATACAACATTTTCATCTTATTTAAGGTCAATATTATTTTTATAAACTTGTCATAATCACAGTAAACTTAATTTTTAAGTTGCTTGAAGATATGGCAATTAGGGATAATTCCACAAATTCTGGTATGCAGTATATTCAGCAGCAGCAGCAATATCATCATCAGGTAAATTAAACCGCGGCGGACTAAGTAACATCCCTTCAGCCATATTCACAAGAACATTAGGCATATCAAAAATCAAATCCTCATCCATAAACTCATAATTATTCTCAAACCCTAAATTCTCCGAAACCAATTTACTCTTCTGATCATGTACTTCTCTACGTGCTAATATCGCGTCTCCAGCTGCCCCTACAGCTGCAGCCGCACTGGCTGCAGCTGCCTGAATATCACGAGGCGAGCTCGTGGCAGGAACAGGTAAAGAGGCAGCTGAATTCGGGAAATTAAGGTCAGTATCACGACCTTTAAGCGCGATTGCTGCCACGTCATAAGCTACTGCTGCCATTTCTGCTGTAGGAAACGTGCCGAGCCAGATTCTGTTAGGTGATCGTGGTTCGCGAATTTCTGACACCCATTTTCCGCTACTCTTCCTTCGCCTTATTCCTCGGTAAACAGGATGACGTCCTGAATAATTATTGGGGGCAGTAGCACTGCCCCCGATATTAGTACTGCTTCCACCATAAGTCGCCATTTAATATTAGAGTATCGTTTTCTTTTTCGAGAATTACCAGAAGGTTCGGGGAAAGAGATGGGATTGAATTGGATTAAGGTAGCCATTTAAGAAAGGGAAGATTTTGAGGATTACAGATTGAGGTGCAAACCAGTTGTTGATGAACTTGCAAGAGTAGTGTGTGAAGGATTTTGGGTGTAAGCCAGAAATGTGTTGGAGATGTGGGTTGGATACCGTTTTAACTAAGTGTTTAGTAGAAAATAGTGACCTTATATACATAAGGATGAGGATTAAAAGTTCTTTTTCAAGAATTATTCTACTGAAGCGATAAAAGTGGAAAGTTTCAAGAATGTCAAAGAAATGTTGACAAGACATTTGTGGCTCAATGATGCCAAAGTCTTATGAGGTTAATTCGGGATTTAAATTTTATGGTATTATTTTTGTATTTTTTTATTCTTAGATTTTTATTACTATCTAAAGTTTCTTTTGCTTCGGTTTCCTTATTCTCTTGTTGTTGTTACTGCTTCCTTTTCCATGACTTCTTTACTAGACTGTATTTCTTTTGGTAAACTGCTATAGTTTTTCTTGAGTCGAGGGTCTATCAAAAACAACCTCTCTATCTTGTGAAGGTAGATGTAAAGTCTGCGTATACACTACGTACCCTCCTCAAATCCTACTTATGAGGTTTTACTGGGTTTATTATTGTTCTTGGATCCGATAATTAGTTCATAGTTTATCTTAGTCATAAAAGGTTATCGACATGTTGTATCTTGGAGGAAACATGTCAAAGGTAATTTTTTTAGATCATTATAAATATATTACGGTAGGCTAAATTCTACTTAAACGTAAAAATTTCATGGGACCGGTTTATGCACTCACTCTCTAGGTTCGTTGCCTCCAATATATGGATCTGCACAAAAATGTACAGAAATATAGTATAACTACACCATATTTGATACCCAGTATGTATCAAGACTAATTAACCTTCTCTGAAACTGATGAGGTCTTCGTTTGCCCCATTGGCGAAGTCATAAGTTGTGGTGAATCCTTTCGTCCAGTGGTTAGGACATGTCTTTTCATGTAGAAGCGTGATCAGTTTTCACTTTGCTATTCAAGCTATTTCATTTTTTCTAAGTTTTAGCAAACTTCGAATATAACCTGCATGCTCCTAAACTTCAAATAAAACTTCTAATATTGAACTTGTAGCCACTGAATTAAAGCACCATTGTAACATTATCATAAGGTATTACTCCATATAACTCAGATTAGATGCAATTAAAGAGGTTCTCAGTATCCCAAAAATATAACATTTATCAAAAACATTGCTCAACAAGTTTCTAGATTCCTCTAAACTATACCTAAAACATATATACTGCCTAGAAAGAAATTAAATTAAAACATGCAATTATTCATCATTGTTGTAAGTTTAAAGAAGTGGGTCTTGAATTACGAATAAGAAAAATGAGTTTAAATCAAGTAGATATTATTGGAAAAGCTTGAAATCATTGGCAGGGATGAATACTGGCTACATAAACTACTCAGTTGGAAATATATGTCTGAAACTGTATATATGAGTAGTTCAAACTTCAGACATATACTATACTTGTACTTTCAAATGTCTGAAGTTGGGGACTGATGCCAAGCTAAGCTTCACACAAATGTATGATGTTCCAACTTATGCAAACTTTCGACTTGGTTTTGGCAAGCCAAACTTAAAATATAGACTCGTAAGTCTAAAGTTGATTTTGAAGTAGCTAAACTTACAATAACAACTATCCTCATTCTTAACCCAGAAAATGAGTAACAATTAAATTTATACGCGGTTTAAAGTATATGTGATTTAATTCAACACGAATGACTAAGAACAACAGGTAAATAAGTTAAAGACAAAATAAATGATCAAACCTATTGCAATGTGATAACCAAGACCAATCTTAAGTTGAATAGTGGAATTCGCCCTCGATTGGACTCTCGGTACAAGCTTGGTTGCGAATAAAGAAGAGAACAAATGAAGAACACTTTGAACAATGGCCAGAAGACAAGAGTAAACTTTTTTATTGCTTTGATTTGCGTGTCACAATGTCAGAATAAAGAAAGTCTTCCCCTTTATATAGTAGGAGAATTTCAGTCCTAACACAAGGCTAAATGAAGTAAAAATCTTCTTTTTCCGGGAGAGTAGATTTATCGAAGCGATAGAAAGCGATAAATTAATCTTTCTCTATAAAAGCTTCGATCTCTTTTTCAGTTTTCAATTCCAGAGCTCCTTGACTTACCCTCTAATTCTTCACTTATTCCTAAGTCCTTCCAACCTTCATATATTGTTTTCTAGATCTCCGTATTTTCATCTTCAAATCTTCATACACCTTCTTCAAATCTGACCTTCATATTTTCATCCTTATCTTCATTCTTACCTTCAAACCTTCATCCTCACCTTCAAATCTTTATATTTTCCGAAATCCGATGGTGAAAACTTCCAAATCCGTGCCTCAACAGACCATCCCTTCAAATTCCAACCCGGGCACGGATGCCGAGGTGACCGTTCCTTAGTTGGCCCCAAAACCTCCCTTGAAGAGCTTCATCCCCAGGGGATGCTCCATTGAAAATGACTTCAAAGTCGAGAAAACAGCCAACAGGACCGAGGCGAGGGAATGTGGAGGTACATATGCTCCGTCATCGAGGACACACTCCTTACTGTTTGGAAGGACTGTAATTATGAGGGCAAGGAAGTGGTCATCCCAGGGCTCAATGAGGACATTACCACTCATGTAGAGGGGTATTTAAGTGTTTGCACTTACCACTTCACGCTTGGGTAAAAGGTACGAGGTCTTCCTTGGGCAATTCACTCGTCCTTTTAGAGGATCGCAATCCTCTTCTGCCACTTTGTCAATAATACCGAAGCACCTTGGTTTATCCTCGACCACCTGCTTCGTCTTTACAGTCCCCGAGTTTTCGAGGAGGGTCGATCAAGCTCGTCCGCCAAGCAAGCAAAGCTCCATTCTCGAGCATTGATGAAGAACGAGATCGAGGTTGGTAAGGGAGATTCGCTCGGGTGAAAATCAAAGATCTCATTCCCCCTAAACTTTTACCGTTCCCTGAAAAGTGGAACTCAGCTCATAAGTTTCTTTCTCTTGTGAGTACTTGGTACTTCTTTTGTTCTTTTTTTGATTTCCTGTGCCTATCGTTGTGCAGCGATTGCCTATGTTCTGATAAGTGGGGATTTTGACTACTTATTAGCACGTTTTAGCTTTCGTTTTAGTCCAAAATCATTTAATTGTGTGTTTCAAAAACTGATAAAATATACTTAATTACAGGAATATTGGAAGATGAGCTCCCAATATGAAATCCTACTCAAGAAGGAGTAATCTGAACTCAAGGACAAAAATACACACAAAAGCTCAGAAGAATCTGCGGCCGCACGTTGTGAAGAAACGTCCATTAGAGAAAAGTAAAAAGTACGGTCCACACATGATATGTGCGGCCGCAAAAATTGAGTCAGAGCAAAAGATTAGAGAATATGCATCCCAAGTCCAACAAAAGTACGGACCGCACAATTATTGTGCGGCCGCAGAAGAAAAGCTACGCTGCCGCAGTCACATTCGGACTGCAGAAGAGCAAGGTGCGGCCATAGATATTATTGTGCGGACCGCAGAAAGAGAACAGTGCGGCCGCAGTCCAGAATTACGCGGTTGCAGATTTCCTACCCTGTCAAGACTGAAGAAAAATACGGATCGCACATGGAATTATGCGGTCACAGAACCTCCGAAAGGGCATTTTTGTCTAAAAATTCCAGCCCTGTATAAATAGAAGAGTTTCACTTTTTTAGGTTAAGTTTTGACATCAGCTGCTACAGTAGACGGGTTTCTTTACTCTCTTTAGTAGTTTTTGCTATTTTGAGCTTTTTGAAAATTGATTTAATCATTTTAATTATCAATATGGGTTTAATTATCATTACTTCTTCTATTTCTTCTATCTTAAGCATGAGTAACTGGATTTTCACAAGGGTTGTGACCCAACACTAGAGTGTAATATTAATGGGTGTTTGATTTATTGCTTGTTTATAGTTGGTGTTTATTATTTAGCCTTGTTCTTGCTTTCAATTGTAGAATTATTAGTTGCAAACATTAGTTCATGCCTATTTGACTTGGTCTCTACTTGAGAAAGAAAGACTTAGTCTAGGAAAACTTGGCTAACAAGAAATTGGTTCAATCGAGAGATTGATAAGCCCAATTAAAGGGTTGAACCTAGAGATAGTAAAACCCGACTTGAGATTTGTATCAACCATTTTGTTCGATACCCATTTGGACTTGAGAAAGCCAAATTTGGAAAAATCACTCTATGACCGAGAGGAATTGAGTGAGTACTTGAGTGTTGATAGCTATAATACACTTAAAAAAAGCTTTAAAGTTTACAACCCATTAGGTAAACACCTAGGTGAAGGTCATAGCCCTAGGCCTTTTATATCATTTGACAAACAACAAAAACGATTTCCTAGTTTCATTTCTTAGCTTAAATTAAACCTAGAAACAATTCCAAGTTTGTGGAAGTGCAAATTGAGATAATTCAAGCTCATACACTATAAAATATACCTAAGTCCCATTCATAGATTCCTATGGAAAATCGACCCCGACTCCTTGTTGGGTATTACTATAACATCAACCGTTTCATAACCTTAAATAGAGGTGTGACTTGGACGAGATCAATTTTTGGCGCCGTTGCCGGGGAGCTAAAAATAGATTTAGCTATATATTTGGTTTTGTGTGTGAATTGTCTTCTTTTCCTTCCGTGTTACTGATTTTTGTGAATCAATTGTAGGTGCAACAATGGCCCTCAACAATGATCAACTCGGAAACATGCCTTTTGGGGATGTGGACGCTAATGATGACCAAGTTGAAGAGATTCCTCTTGAACCTCAAGCAAATAGAAGAGGCCGACCGCTTCAAGACAACGTCCCAATTCCACCCCCACCTCCACCAAGAGCGACTCCATACTGGGTGTTGCCGAATGAAGGGTAAGCAAGTGCCATAGTCTTTCCCCGCATTAGGCGGGCAACTTTCAAATCACGAATGTAATGCTCACATTGCTAAAGCAACGGGGATTCTTCACCGGGGCTCCGAGTCAAAATGCATACAAACACTTGAAGGGGTTTGGGGACACTTATTGGGGGAGTAAACAGACAAACGTCTCTGAGGTTGCTTTAAGGTTAAGGCCATTTCCCTTCTCTCTACGGGGGAGAGCCTTGGATTGGTTAGAGAGATTGCCAAATCATTCCATCCATACACGAGATGAGTTGGCGGAGAAGGTCAACTCCTAATTGCTATTTGGGGAATGGGTATCTGATTATCATGTTTTATTGCTATTATCTCTGCGGCCGCACAAGAAATTGTGTGGTCCGCAGAAGTGGAGATTAGGGCATTTGGTGAAGCATGATTCTGCGGAGTGCGGACCGCACTTGAAATTATGCGGACCACAGAAATTCAATCGCGGCCGCAGAA